AACAATAATCTTTTCCCTTTATATTTAAACTAGATTAGTTTAACATGTGAAATGTCCGTAAAGTATCATCATATGATTGGTTTTAGGGCACATTTCCAACAAATAGCCCATCACAAATTTTACATTTTTATTAACTTTAAAAGCGTGAATTCACGAAAATGCCCTAGAGGCAAGGATTTTGACTTTCGTTGACCATCGGTTAGAGAAATGTATGATTTATTCTTTTAGCATATCCTCGTAGTACTCGTCGCTATGGACGTGTGGGCGCGAACGAGGCATGATTTGGAGCTATAGCGAGGGAGATATTAACGTTTGAATTTTGTGTATATTAATAATTTGGTTATTATAAGAAAACTCTAAAAAAAATTTAAATGAAATCTAGTGTGCCACGTGGGTGGCCCAGATTTAGAGACAAGGATATGGATGGTTGTGATGGAAAGGCAAGAAGAGAGATGAGAGATAAGTGGAGCAATGAGGAAAAGAGAGAGAAGGGTGGACCAATGAGGGAGGAGAGGAAGGAGAGAAAGGAGAGAACAAGAAGAGGAGGGAACCGGCTGGGTTTACCATGACCCGTGACTCGACCCGGTTCCATCTCCCGATTCCGACCACCATAGACGGCAAGGTTGGTGTCAAAATGATCCTTAGCTCGAGGCCATTCGATAATTCTTCCTATTTCACCCCAAAAATCAAGGGATTTGGCATTGATTTCACAAAACCCGCACGGTGGGTGTGGCGATTTTGGGTTCGAACCACACAATTCCAAAGTTAACCACATTCATCACCACCACCCATAGCATCCTCTTAAGGCTTGGAATAAAGCCCAAACAAGTTTGGGGGCGGAGGAGTTGTTTTGGAGTCAGATCGAACACACCCAAATTCAAGGATTTCGTACGGTTTTAGTAGAATTGAAGCTTTTCCAGGTCAAATTGGTCTTAGTCACAGGTATAGATTAATTCTTCTCGTCGATTAGATAAATTTTCATGTTTGGATCGTGTGATTTGGTTGAAAAATAAGAAAGTTATAATGATTTAAAGTTTGCCCAATTTCTGGCGACCTCTGCCACTTTCGAGTCATTTGCCGGCCAAACCACGGTGAGTTAGCCTTTGAGAAAGGTATCAATCTCTTCCTTTCGTCGAAAACTAAGATTTCTGTTTTTGAATCACTCAATTTCGTGGAGTATTGACAAAGTTATGGACGTTGAAAGGTTGCCCAAAAATTCCAACGAGTTACCAGTTTTCCTGCCGACAACCATCTTTCAGACCATTTTCTGGACACCTCCAGCCACTATTTGGACTCCAAGCTGGTATATTTGTTCTACATTTCTCTAGCTTCGATTTGGTATATTATGGGTTAAATTTGATTGAGAAACAAGTGAGATATGGAGTTCTAAAGATTGCTTGGAAATCTGTGAAATATGCAGAATCCGGTGAAGTTCCATTAAGGTCCACCACTTGATTAGAATAGTAATCGACGATCTGACCATTGGATCGTCACCAAACTTTGTTACATTGTAGTACATAATATTTGAAGAATGTAGGAATTTACGGATTGGGAATCCGACGTACGGATCTTCCTGAATTGGATTTGTAAGTCCATAAAATAGAATGTTAACCGCCACTTGGTTTTGGATATTGGCAGAGATCCAACCGTTGGATCGTAATGAAATTTTAATATGTTGTTCTAGAAGCATAACGTGAATCTTTGGAAGTTGCAGATTGGAAAGATTGTAGACCCTACCGTCGATCTATGATCGACGGTTGACTGATGGTCAATGAGTCTCAAACTATTTTAGAATGTCCTTGAGGATGTATTTTATGTGAATTACATATTCTATTGATAAGAGTTATGAGATGTGATTCAATAATTGTTCTAGGCACCAATCATTCGGGACGCCTCGATGCACGTGTTAGAGAATCATAGCGTGGACTCTAGGTGAATGGGTCTTTTCCTTTTATTATAAGCATATAATTGATAGCTCCACAAACGCTTCTAAAGTGATTTATGCATGTTACCTACAATTAATTATTGTGAACTACGAATGGCTTGATCCCTGTTTAGGGTACGTAGGCAGTCTAACGAGACGTTAGATGCAGCCATACAATAAGTGAGATTAAATAATCAAGACAAAATCTTTGTTTGGGAAAATGAGCAATGTGAAGGAATCTGGTGAAAAACATGAGATTTAACCCTATGTTTTGGGTGAATAAATGTTGGTTATAAATCAACGTGCGAGGAAACGAGAAATTCTGGTTTTATGTTTTATAAATGCCATGCCATAATTAGTTTACATTTTAGTATGTGATTTAGTACACCCTTGCACAATGTTGCATACCAATGCGGAGGCTAAGGTAAGTTTAGGTGAGTATAATTGAATTCTAATTAGTAATGAATGGATGTGATGAGATATGAATGAGTCGTACAGGTCACTATAGGTGACTCTGACTTATATGCTAGCCATGATTGATGAGATATGCAATGAGATATGAATAAGTTGTACAGGTCACTACAGGTGACTCCGACTTATATGCTAGCCATGATTGATGAGATATGTGATCAGTCGTACAGGTCACTACAGGTGACTCTGACTTATATGCTAGCCATGATTGATGAGATATGTGATGAGATATGAATGAGTCGTACATGTCACTATAGGTGACTCCGGCTTGCATGCTAATATGATTTATTAAGCACATGATTATTTATATTGCTAATGAGTTGCTAAGTAGTATTATACTTCGGGGTTTACTGTTAGTATATTTTTGACTTCATACTTCTATGTAGTATAATTTGCTGGAAACTATACAGGTTTTACGGCAAGGGGTTATTACCTTTGATAATGGAAATGACTTTGAAAATCTTTGTTTTGACCACTCACACTTTCTATCCTTGCACCCCTCCAAGTTCTAGTAGCAAGGTTCTGTATCGACGAGAACTTGTGGCATTCCCAGTTCTGGTGGCTCCTTATGATGGTATAATTATTATCACTGCGCACTTGTGTACTTAGATACTTTTAGAATTAATTTATTCACATTTTATACATTATCACACTTTATGGCTTCGTCACCTTCCAGGTGTCGGCCAGCACGGCTCGATTCGGGGTCCTAGTGGACATTCCGGGTTGGGGTGTGTCAGTAATGCTTTTACCAATTTCATTCATTTGTTTTTAAATTAATCTTGTACTGTAAAAAGGAGAGCCGAATTCAAGTGGATAAGGAGAATACATTCTTCTACGCAATGTGGCAATGCCTACTTATGTGTTGTACGTCTTGATAAATAAGATTCATAAATAACATAAGATACGTAAGAAGACAATACTCAGATAGATACTCAATAAGAAAACTTTTTCCAACTTGTGTTAGCTTGTATAAGTGCTAGATTAGTTTCCAACAAATCATGGAAAATACCTAACACAAGTTGGTTTAGCCCCAAACCGACATAACTTAGGAATCCCAATCACATTAAAATATCGGGAATGCATCGTAACTATATCAGTCAGTGAGCAAGAGTGATGTTAAGGAGATCACATATTGTAAACCATATCCAAACACACTATCTCTCTCTCTCTCTTTCTCTCTCTAATAGAGTATAAGTACATCCTATCTCTACTAGAGAGTTTAAATGTGATCTCCCTAGCACTCTTCTTCCTATTAATGCATCATGGGTTCACTCTTGATCAAAGCACATAGCAGACACATGTTAATGACTCTGAGCCTAAAAGCTCTAACATTATCCTACTTGGGAAAACATCATTAACTGAATGCACCAATTGGGTTCACCCATTAATGCATTTTCATAGAAGAAGGCTCAGTTTGGCTGTGAGGCCTCCCAATTCAACTTTGCCTCAAAGCTATGAAGCAGTGTTCTAAAAAACGGCCTAGGCACTGAGCGGTGGCCAACAACCAAGATTGATGCAAAATTTGGAGCAAAATCAGGACAGGGATTAGGCGGGCGCCGAGACGGCCTAGGCGGTCTGAGAATTTCAATTTTTTCTGCATTTGAACTTGAGAAAGGATGAATGCTTCTAGTTTGTGTTTTGGTTTTTCAATTTCTGGTCTATGTTCTTGCGAAGATGAGAGAAAATTAATTTCTCTCTCTTCCTTCCACACCCACGTGATCACTTTAAACTATTTAGTTTTTTTTTTTTAAGTAAAAAGGCTGTTAGTTCATCCATAGCATCAAGTGCTATTAATTTTTTTTCTCAGTAAAAAAATATAAATTGTCACGCTATCAGTTCATGGCATCAAGTGCTATTGATTTTTTGGACTTGTTAGATATGCATTTTATTATTCTTTTACTATCTTATTCAGGGATTTCATATAAGTATGATTTTTTGTAAGTATCAGTATACACTTATTTACAAGATATACAAGAAATTTACCTAAATCCGCCTAGGCACTCGCGTAGACCCCCCCTAACTGCCTAGGCGCTAGGCGCCAGCCCGCCGTTTGCCTAACGCCTAGTGGTTTTTAGAACCTTGCTATGAAGTAGTTATTCAATATTTTTTACTTTAACCAACTAGTACTACGGCTTAGTAATATTCTTTTTCATTTATACATGAGATGTCTTAAGTTCAACTCACATAAATAACGAAGATGTATTATATTTGTGTTGAGTTTGATACCTAATAAATGGCTAATCCATTATAATGAATATCGTTGATTAAAAAAAAAAAACATTTCCGTTTTCTAATTGACCAAAAGAATATTCTCCTAAGTTTTCCTTACACCTAATGTGGGTGTATGCTTATATATGTTCTCTCTCTCTCTCTCTCTCTCTCTCTCTCTCTCATAGAGTACAAGTAAATTAGAGAGCGTTTAAAACGTCATCTCACTAGCACTCTTCTTTCCTATTAATGCATCATGGGTTCACCCTTGATCAAGGCACATAGAAGACATATGTTAATGACTCAAGCTTGAAAGCTCTAACATTAATCTCCTACTTGGGCAAACATCATTAATTGAATGCACCAATTAGGTTCACCTTTGGATGCATTTCCATAGAAGAAGGCTCAGTTTTCGCCTCAAAAGCTATGAAGTAATTGGATCAATGCTTGAGCTAAATGGGCCAGCGGGTAGTCATTTGCATCTAGGTGAGGCCGGCCTGTTAAATTCCCCTCTGGCCCATAACCACCGTCTTCCCCATCAAACTGTGAGCTTTCCCCACCGGAGTCTCACCGAGTCATCATCTCTCGCAACTTCACGGAATCACAGCAAAGCAAAACGTCGCAACCCGAGACCCTGGATCCGATCCGACCTTGATCCGATCACACCATGTCCTGCTTAGCCCTCTCTCTTCAACCCGCCAATGGATCCGACATCCTGCTCCAAACCCGAGAATGGTTCCCGCCTGCCCGGGCCCTCGTCGCCGTCTCCTCCTTCCGCCAGACCCGCCTAGCTTTCGCCGCCGCCAAGCAGCAACAACTCCCCACCACCAAAGACAATTCCCACAGCCACTCTGACTCTTCCTCCGATACCACTGCCGACTCCGTCGCCTCCCTCGGGCGACGACCCACTCGCAGCCTCGAGTGGCCAGCTCATCGTGGGTGTCGAATCTCGGTACCGGGTCGTCTACCGCCTCGTCAACTCCATCTACGTCCTCGGCGTCACCACCGCCGATCACGACAACTCGATCAACGTCTTCGAGTGCATCCACATCGTCAACCAGGCCGTCAGCGTCATAGTCACCGCTTGCCGCGGCGTCGATGTTACTCCGGAGAAGCTGAGTCGGAAGTACGCCGCCGAGATCTACATGGCTCTCGACATTGTTCTGAGAGGTGTCAGCAATATTCGATTAGCGGCGATGCTTTCGTCGATGCACGGCGACGGCATTGCCAAGATGGTGCACTCGGCGTTGGACACTGAGAACAAGATCCGTGGGGCGGAGAATTGGAGAGCCGTTGAGGCGCTTTCCGTCGAACACGAGGCGGGCATTGTGGCGTTCAACAATTTAGGGTTTGAATTGCCGCCGGAGACGATCGCTGCTGGAGATGAGGTGGCGGCTAGCTTGGCGCCGGTGGTGCAGAGTGAGGAGAAGGATCAGAATTTAGAGAATGAGGACGAGAGCCAAGCTGAGAAGGACCCATTTGCGGCAAGCGAGAAGATTAATCAGCCTGAAGAGCTGGTGAGTGGGTTCAAGAAGAACAAGGATCCTTCCGCCACGGACCTAACAACAGCGCTGGCGACACTTGAAGTGACTACATTGCCTCCGGCAGAGGCGACCCAGAGTACCCATATTGCGGTGGAAGGGTTTGAAGGGGAGTATGGTGGGATTGAGTTTGGGAATGACCAAGCTTCTTTGGGTGAGACTTTTGAAGGGTTTAGTGATGCTTGGGGAGGTGGGTTGGATGCTTCTGAGTTTGTTGGATCGAAGAAGGTTGCGAAGAAAGAAGGGCTGGGCGGGCTTGAATTGTTGCAGACCGGGCCTGATGCTCCAAAAACTGCTGATGCCACTGCCGGTGGTGCAGCAGCAGGTACTCCCCTTGATACCCTTGTAAAAAGTGAAATGAAGGGTCCTGAGATGCACGTTGTGGAAGAGATCAGTGCTGAGTTTAGAGAGTCATTGCTTGCTAGAGTGGGATTAATGGGTGTTGTTTATTTGAGAACTTTGCCTACCAAAACTAGTGGTGATAAAGAGACCGAATTTTCTTTCCGGGTTGAGGGAACCAGCCCGGTTAAGAGGTTTATTATGCAGAATTCTCGCGTTAGTAGTCTGGGGAACGGATTGTTTCATGTGAGGACCGCAGCCTCCGATGAGCCTTTACCCATTTTGAAGTATAGTCTGCTGCCCAGGTTGACACCATTGCCCTTGAGGGTTCGTCTTGTGCAACGCCATACAGGAAGCTTACTTTCTGTGATGATACAGTATGTGTCAAACCCTGAGTTGCCAGCGCCTTTGACTGATGTGACATTTGTTTTAAAACTCCCACTTGATCCTACATTGTTGAAGGTATCACCAAAAGCTATATTAAGTAGGTCTGATAAAGAACTGAAATGGCATATCCCCGAGATTCCGTTGAATGGATCTCCTGGTCGGTTGAGGGCAAGGATGCCTGTGGATTCTAATGAAGGAGATGGCAGTGAGGAGATTGAAGTTGTTGCTTATGTGAAGTTTTCTTGGCAAGGAACTAAATCATTGTCTGGAGTTTGTTTGCGGCCAGCTTCCAAGGGTAATACAGACTTTTATGAGGTTAATCACAGGTATGAGAATGGGTTATATATGTGCAATTAATAGACCCATGATGAAGTCACTGTTGTATTGTAGAGTAGAGGGTTGTGTCTCCTTTTATGTTGTTTATTTTGAGAGGTTTCTGTTGATTGTATCTTGTTGTAGCATTCTTTGATAATGAGCTTGTAGCTTAGTTTATCGGTCATTTGAAAGCTTTATGTCTTTGTGTATTGTGTGAATGGATATACAAGTTTCTCTTTACATGCTATCTTCCATCTCCTGGTTTATTAATTTTACTATCACATGAACGTGTAGGTTTTGTAATTCAATAATAAAACAAACTTGTATAATAATACAGAACACAATATAGTGAACCTTATGCTCTAATCGAGACTTTCTGACTAAGGGATCATTGGTAATAAAACAAACTCTGTTAAACAGAAATAAAACATTGTAATGAATCTTATATTGTAACTGAGATATTCTGACTAAGGGAGCATTAGGACTCAATCTATTGAAATTAAGACATTACCAGCAATGTTCACAAAAGTCGGTACTGTAGATGGTTAATAAGTTTTGAACCATCTAAAGTTCTGTCTCACTTTGTTTTACATGGCCTTTTCAACTTGAAACTTTGTAATGGTTTTTATTTGTTTCTTCTTTTTGGCAAGACACCAATGCCCGAGGCTTTCATGAAACAATTTGATTCCTCTTGTATTGCAATTTGTGTGAATCTGCGAACATAGTGACAAAATCATATATACCTCTTCCCATGTCCAACTGATTTAGGCAGTTACTCCTTGAATAGTTCAATGATAATCTGAGCTTCCGAAGTTGAAAATACGGGTGGCTTTTATGCATTTTGTGTATTGTGTTCTTACATCTTTGCCTATTGGTTTAATAATTTCTTTTGTGATCAGGAATAAAAAGATGTAAGAAATAATATGGTAAAATGACATAGAGTGTGAACTTGTTCAAAACATTGGACTTCCACTATTGGTTCCTTTTGAGTTTAAAGACCTCTTTTACATTTGCCTATCACATTCATTCTCATGATACAGGTTTCAAATTTTTGTGTTATTCATATTTCTATCCGATGTTTTATCATTCTTTTGTACAGAGCCGAAGTAGCTTCCTTTATATGACTTTTATCTGTTTGTTACCGCTAACAGTTTTAGTTTATCACCTATTCGAACCTTACCGAAACCCTAGAGTCGAGGCCCAGCCTTTTTCTTTTTTATTTATAGAGGACACATACATTTATGTGGTAACTGCAGATTGTGTAGAAGGGTGGAAAATGGCACATTAAAGATTAGGGATCAAAATGGAAACCAACTCTTAGGGGTCATCAATGAAATTTACCAAGTTTTATTTATCACACTGAACATTTGGTTATGTTGTTTTGTTTAAATGTTGATTCAAATACATGTTGAAGTTTTCGATGTTTGGGCATCCAAAATTCGGAGTGAGTTTGTATCATTGTATTTTTACCATGTAGCTCTAGCTGGAAAGTGCTACTTTTCAGAAAAATGTAAGCAAGCAATCTTTTGTTTTCCAACATGTGAATTAGAAGTTAGATGAGGGCTAATCAGGCTACAATTTATCAGAATTCTTCTCAATCGTCCTATTTGCTGAAATAGTCTGCTAAGCATACGATGGATTAGCCATTTGGTTTCTGCCAATCATAACTAACAGTGCAGTCTGCACTCAGTGTCGTCTCCCGTAGTCTTTAAAGGTCATTCTCTGTAGTATCTAAATCGATTGCAAATGTATTTTATGAACCCAAGATCCATGACTACTGGTAATTCAGTGTGATAATTCGCTTTTGTACTTGTAGAATTTCAGGGCTACATGTAGCGGCAAGTTGAAGTCGGGTAAAAAGTTATACTTCTCCTGTAGTTGCTTTGATTCTTTTGATCCCTGTTAGTTTTACTTCTCCTGCAGTTGGATCTAAAGTAAGAGAATTAAAAGCATAAGTTTAGGTATTTAATCAAATTTTAGTTATGCAGGAGTAGCTTCAATTTTTCTCTTCTCTGGGAAGAGCAAATTGTTGAACCAAGAATGCAGTGGTGTAGATTAATTAGATGTAAGGTGCTCTGCAGGAGCTTCTTTCTCCTGAGATCCAACAGGTCCATAAGCACTTCTCGATCAACAACCGATCGGCCGGGTACCTTCACTATGGTATATGATGTAGTTTGTTTCTATGAAGGTGACCTGCTTTGCTAGCATGATGATATTAACATCAGTGGAGCTCTTTAGTATGTCGGTGTATACGATTGATCGGATGTGTCAAAATCTCATCATCTTGGCCATGTTGCTATTGATCGGATGTGTCTTTTATAGGCCAGCAGCCCAACCTATTAGGCTTGAAGCTTGAAATACCCGATGACGAGTCCGGTAGACCCCCCCATACATAGGCTCCAAAGTTATATACTAAATTAAACTAATGACTTTAAATGGGGATTATATCTGGAAATTTTATTGTACATGTTTATCAATTGAATTGCTTGTGTATGTTTGTGCTACTGTATTGTTATGAGAATACATGTACAATGAACCTGAAGTTCATACTAAACTTCGAACCGAAATTTTGAGTCTTGCCATAGAAACCTTTTGTGTTTCCTAAAACCGCGCCACTCATGTTGAACCCTGAAGTTCTCCATAATTAATTTGTTAAACCAAACTATGTCTTAGAACTTGAATGTTCTAACCTTGATACTTATGGAGGTTTTAAGTTCTCGTATCATCAACCACGACTCGTTCCCTCCTTTTAGTGGATTGCCGAAACTACTTGTATGTGGGTATGAGTTTTGAACCTCCACTTAATTATCGAGAAGTTGAGAAACCATTGAAGCCAACAGTGGCATGGATAGAGCTGAACAAGACTCTACCTTGACTTTCATTCAAAAATTTATAGGTGATCCTTCCGGAAATGTTAAACAAAAGTTTTTCCCTCGTATGTCGGTCACTTTTACTTTTTTGCTATTTCATAATCTCCAGGGTATGATACCTTATAGCTTTACATTTACAAGTCATTTTCTTATTACTTTCTATCTCCCATTTTCTATTTTTATTGGCATTACTATAGTGGGATTTCAAAGAAATGGGCTTCATTTTTTAAGCTTTTCATTACCTTTGTTTCATTAGCAAAAAGTATTACATGACGACAGTATCGAAGTTAGGAATTGTTTGAGGGACGGACGAATTTAAAAGAGTGCAAGGTTAAAAAAAATGTAGACAACCAAATTTGTATAGATATTAGACAATATTAGGAATGTCTGTAATGTATCAATACTTGAAGGACTACCTAGAATATTCGAAGGTAGACTACCCATAATATTTGAAGGGAGATTTAAGCAATGGTTTTTATAGTATCATTCCATTAAGTCTTAGACTCTTAATCCTAGAGAGAGTATACTATATGACTAATAACTAATTAAACTAACAACTCAATTAATCAGTACCAATAACTATATAAATTATTCAATAAACCAAATTTCAATTCAATTGACCAGGATCAATAATTATATAGGTATAGATTATTCAATAATCAATAATTTAATTAATCAATAATCAAGAATTCAATTTTTCAGTAATAAAAAATTCTACTCATCAATAATTGTAGTATCCCACATCGACGACGTGAGGGCTGTCCTTGGGCCTTATATGTATTCGCTCGCAGGTACTCTTCAGAGACGCGTTTTGGAGCTGCGGCTTGCAAAAACAAATCCGTGAGTGGGGTCGGACCGGTGCGCCGGGGTTCCACCACAAAGCGGACACAATATCTCTGCGGAGGAAGGCGTGGTCTACTGTTTGGTATCAGAGCCAGACTCACGGCCGTTCGGTGTGCCGACGAGGACGTCGGTCTCCCTAAGGGGGGTGGATTGTAGTATCCCACATCGACGACGTGAGGGCTGTCCTTGGGCCTTATATGTATTCGCTCGCAGGTACTCTTCAGAGACGCGTTTTGGAGCTGCGGCTTGCAAAAACAAATCCGTGAGTGGGGTCGGACCGGTGCGCCGGGTTCCACCACAAAGCGGACAATATCTCTGCGGAGGAAGGCGTGGTCTACTGTTTGGTATCAGAGCCAGACTCACGGCCGTTCGGTGTGCCGACGAGGACGTCGGTCTCCCTAAGGGGGGTGGATTGTAGTATCCCACATCGACGACGTGAGGGCTGTCCTTGGGCCTTATATGTATTCGCTCGCAGGTACTCTTCAGAGACGCGTTTTGGAGCTGCGGCTTGCAAAAACAAATCCGTGAGTGGGGTCGGACCGGTGCGCCGGGTTCCACCACAAAGCGGACAATATCTCTGCGGAGGAAGGCGTGGTCTACTGTTTGGTATCAGAGCCAGACTCACGGCCGTTCGTTCGGTGTGCCGACGAGGACGTCGGTCTCCCTAAGGGGGGTGGATTGTAGTATCCCACATCGACGACGTGAGGGCTGTCCTTGGGCCTTATATGTATTCGCTCGCAGGTACTCTTCAGAGACGCGTTTTGGAGCTGCGGCTTGCAAAAACAAATCCGTGAGTGGGGTGGGGTCGGACCGGTGCGCCGGGTTTCCACCACAAAGCGGACAATATCTCTGCGGAGGAAGGCGTGGTCTACTGTTTGGTATCAGAGCCAGACTCACGGCCGTTCGGTGTGCCGACGAGGACGTCGGTCTCCCTAAGGGGGGTGGATTGTAGTATCCCACATCGACGACGTGAGGGCTGTCCTTGGGCCTTATATGTATTCGCTCGCAGGTACTCTTCAGAGACGCGTTTTGGAGCTGCGGCTTGCAAAAACAAATCCGTGAGTGGGGTCGGACCGGTGCGCCGGGTTCCACCACAAAGCGGACAATATCTCTGCGGAGGAAGGCGTGGTCTACTGTTTGGTATCAGAGCCAGACTCACGGCCGTTCGGTGTGCCGACGAGGACGTCGGTCTCCCTAAGGGGGGTGGATTGTAGTATCCCACATCGACGACGTGAGGGCTGTCCTTGGGCCTTATATGTATATTCGCTCGCAGGTACTCTGTAGAGACGCGTTTTGGAGCTGCGGCTTGCAAAAACAAATCCGTGAGTGGGGTCGGACCGGTGCGCCGGGTTCCACCACCACAAAGCGGACAATATCTCTGCGGAGGAAGGCGTGGTCTACTGTTTGGTATCAGAGCCAGACTCACGGCCGTTCGGTGTGCCGACGAGGACGTCGGTCTCCCTAAGGGGGGTGGATTGTAGTATCCCACATCGACGACGTGAGGGCTGTCCTTGGGCCTTATATGTATTCGCTC